CATTGTATTTAAATAAGGCATGTCAAATCACCAGGAATAAACCATTGTCGTTCATTTAGTACAATGTTGGTAAGCAACATTATGAATATGTAGAGGATAGGATTTAAGTTGGTGAAATTAATGCTAATCTTCGTTATGTATTCATTTTATTTTTGAATTGCCAATTTAGCAATTGCACAATCTTCAACTTGTTTAGACCGTCGAAGGTAATTAATAGCGGAGGGCATAACCTGAAAGAAAATCATTACTATAATGCAGTTTATTTCTCCTTTCCTATAACTTTTCAACTGCACTAACAGATTCATAGTAACATGATCATTAAGATCATTATTCCAAACAAATGTGTAAGGAAAAGAGTAACAATAAAGTTCTAAAAAGATTTTGTGAGTAAGCTTAATCCATGAATTTCTGTCTCCATAAGATGATCAAGAGTAGAACATAATGAGGATGTTTCAGTCCGAAAGCAAGTGACATCAAATTAGAATTCTTGTGAAAAACCAGGAAATTTTAGCCCCATGAAAATGAACGACATCACATTAATTGATTTGAATATTTTGTATATTTGTAAGAATTCAGACGATTCGTTGCTAGCTTCAGACAATGAAAGAAGGCAAGTACAGCGGTAGTGATTGCCGCCAAGCTATCCCAAAACAATCCATAGAAGCTGCAAGTGTCAAGAAAAACATGCGTCTTACCAATAATAAGTTGACATTTCATTGTTACGGAAGCAACTTGAATCCTTGGTTGAACCGTAAGAAGTTGCAAAATATAAACGCCTTGACAATGCTAATTGCTCGTGGAATTATTACCACTGTATAAATACACAGATTTGGACAAACTAATTTAAAGTCGTTAACAATGTTTAACAAGCAACATATGGTAGAACAGTATCATCTGCTTGATGAATCACAAAAGCATAGATATGGACGCCCCGTTGGCACAGAAAAAGTAGCACAACAACAGAAATTCGGTCGATTCACTATACCATATAAAAGATGTCAAATGTCATGGTTCACAGAATTTTAACCTAAACCGTTCGAAGCTACATTTAAAGTGAAAGTTTATGTCCCACAAACAGAAGTTAGACCAGCTGTGCCTCACTGACAAGGTAGATCGCAACACACAACGCAAGTTCTTATCAAAGTGCCTCCTCATAACTCTAAAATTATAAGTATTGCCGCCATCCCATCATTACACCGATTCCTTTGAATAATTAGAAACACTAAAGTACCAAGAGGATTTCAACGGAATGTTATTGCTAAAACCAATTGTTTGTTATTGCTTAATGCAGTAATATAATGTTAAGGATGGACCATCAATTACCAAAAATCAAAAACAAAACTTTGAAAATTGAAAACATTAGAACAATCTAACGAACACTAGTGATAATAAATAATTGTCATATATTATTCTTTTAGAAGGAATCGGCAAATGTTCTCAATGTCATATTGAAAGAATCCTAAGAGAAATATTGACAGGACAATGATCGCTGGTGTATATCAGGTCACATTGCAAAACTTCTAGAGAAGAAATAGTTGTGTCTTCCTCAAACGGACGAATTCCTACAACGGAAATTGATATCTGCAACCTTCAACATAGGTCAGCAACGAAATTATAAAGGGGAAATTAAGATGAAACAGAGAGAAAGGAAGTTATTTGTGAGATTTGATTATTTGATGATGAGTTCTCTTGGAGTTATACAGTGTAGGTCACTTTCATTTCTTTGGGTAATTCAATGTGCCCACTTATTGACATTGCATATTTACCATTAACAATGAAATGATACAAACGTCCACGAAAACACAGCTAAGAAAATGTCAACGTGTCAACAAAATCATAATCCAAACTCAAATTCAGTAAAAATTGGGCAAAATATGATCAAAAGAAAGAAAGAAACTAACAGATAAACCTATCAGCATCAAAGACGTCCAGCTTCATATCGCACAAAAATAAAACATTTTTCAATGAAACCACTATTACAGCCGTAAAAAAGATCAAAGTAGGGGAAAGAGAAATCATAACGTTTATCATTGATCACATTATTCGTTGATATATCGGCACTCCAATGTGATAAAATATACATATATATATCCCTTTAAGAAGAGTTAAGAAGGACGTAACAGCCGATGCAGTTAAAAATAATTTTCTCAATTTGTGCCGTTTATAAATCTTAACCGTTGGGCTTTGCTTTAAAATTATATCACACGTGTTTACATTTGTTTTACATTTAGGAAAAACGATTCCCGTCATTTCTCTAATAACTCTTCATGTAAACCTTGTTTCTCTGTAATAGGCTGAAGACTTGGAATTTCAAATCAATATCACAATCACGTGGTATGATAGGTTCACTGAAATGGTATGCAGTAAATCACTTTTAATTTTATAATGATAGATTATACAATTTCAGATATTTGAAATTATGAAATTTGCACCTTCAAGTCAATATCCAGAAATGCTAGGTATACAGTGTGCATTCCTTGAATGTTATAACCTCAACCTGTTGAACTAGATTGTGTCTGAAGAATGAACCATTGTCCTGTTACTTCTTAGAAGTTGACAGCAGTTTCTTACATATTTTCGAATTCTGTACAGTACCTGTCAGGTTGTTGGATAACTTAAGTGTAAATCCAGTAATATATTCACATGTTAGATCAAATAAGACACACACAAAAACAATTTATTCCGTTCATATTGTTTGATGAGTCAGTGTTTCAAATTCAGCTCAAGACAAGAAGTAATATGATGATATTCGTAGAGCTAGACCACCAAACAGGTTAATAATCAGAACAAATGCTTCTCTCTTGGCTAACTTATGCTTGTTTTCATACGAGGCTGAATTTATCGAAGAGCTTATAAAATCTGGTCACAAAATCCATGCAAATTCTTTCATTTTAATTTGTTGCTTATGTCTTTAAATTACAAGAACTGGAAAAACACGAAAGACTTTTACATCAAATGCTTATCTTGATATTTCCCAACGATGATACCTACTAGGTAGCAATAAATCAAGCTGCGTAAGAATCATGAAGTGTGATCATTTCCATTTCTAGACATTCCTGCTTCTCCAACCTATGGTATTTACAAGTCACATCGATGTGAAATCTTGTTTCCAATAGTATGATTCCTTCTCAAGATGTCCACAGCTAATTATAAAAAACTGCTCAAAATGGATCTCGATGAAGACAATGGATGAGTTTTAGGATCTCTTCCCGGATCTCAGTGAGGGAATATTTCCTCTCCTTATGACAGTTAGTAGATCTAAGTGTTGTTTATTTAAGTCTGTTAACTTACATCTATATAGCAAGATTTACATTACAAGTTTCGTACTTTCTTTGTGTTTAATGTTTTAACCAGAAGTTTTCTAATGTTATAGATAATTTGGTAGGTTTAAGCTATATTTTTATCAAGGACATTAAGTGCGGATTTTCTCTGTAATAAATGTGTTACCAATGATGAATTGTCTTCAATAAATATTTTTAATGTATTCGTAGTTTTTTCGCAAATAATACAACATTGTTATTTGTCATGTTTATAAAAGATACCGACTACATAATATGACTATGACTATTTCTATAAAAGAAAAAATAGAGTTCAAACTCTAACAATAAAATATGAATATTCCTATTAAGAAAAAATAGTATTCAGAATTTAACTTTTCAGAACGTTGAAATCACCACCTTACCAATGGTTACACAGAACTCGTTGATGTGGAAACGAAGGGAATGTCTGCATTATATGAGAACCACATAAATGGAACGTTAAACTAGATGTTGGGTTATTTATCTGAATTATTTCTCTAAATTCGTTCTATTTCCACTATATATCTTGCATAAGATGAGATGCTAATATACACGGTTTATAATGAAATGATAAAAACTCATTACCACCAGTTAAGTAAGACCGGTGTTTCTACTCTCTGTAGAGTTATATACACATTAATTCACAGACCTGTACTCTAAGCCCTCTTAATATCCTCGTAACGTATTATTTTACCTCCATAACGGTAGTTGTCTTGCATATCATTTCACACTTTAAGTTTTGTATCGTGACAGCCAAGGGGAGGTAACTCTATTATTTTAGGCTTTACATCCACAATGTACCAAGAATTACACCAGTTGTTTGTAGAGTTAGTTACACACAAAATCTATTGTATTTGGGTGATTTTCTTCATTATCCTAGTGATAACATTATAGACAGATCATCCTACTCTTCCTCAATTCGATTGTTTGATGCTTTTCGGACCGTGGTAAATAAATCAAGGTCACGTAAATACGTATTATACATGTCTATTTCCCTATATAATTATAAGCGTCTTCATATTCCACAATTTGTGAATTGAATATATAGAATAATAATGTGCGGATCAGTTTGTTTCAGTGCTGGTATCTTAACCGTGAGGCCATCGAGCAGACTGCTGTTTCCGAGTATATAAATAAAAAATACATTAGATATCAATATACATATCAGCAATTACTAATTGCTGATAAATGATTTATTAGTGATACCATTCATCAAGTAATTTTTATTTTGTTTGAGAGTTATTATCCTTTAACCATAATGACACATTGTTGTCACCCAATAAGACTCGCATGACGGGGTATATATAATACAATGGAAGACTTAAAAGTCCCTTGGGTTATCACCCATAGATGGCCTGTCCAATTGGAATACTTAACTAATTAGATCACTACCATTATTCATTGAAAGCCCGAAGTATGAATCAAATAAAGTCACATATTCCACTTCATGTTTGTCACTGTCGATTGGGCTTAAACATGTCAAAGGTAATCCAGACGTCCACATAGCCACCTTTCCTTTATGTTGACCTTGTGGTGATCTTAGATGTAGTCACCAAAATATTATGTTATTTCAAACAGGACATGGATAATTTAGGAAATTTGTAAGTATTGCACCAGATAGTTTATCACAAAGACATTATAAAACTATATTTGTCATTCATCTATTACACTGGACGATACGAATGACAGGACATCTCTTCCTCACGTGACTGTATGTTCTCGCCTTTCCATACCTCTCGGAGTTCTACTTTCAGCTACCATTGTAGCCATTCGTTCTAGATACTGGTGAACTCGTTTTCCTCGTCGTTTTTCCAAACTTTTCCAACGAAAACTGAGTTCATTAATTTTTTTCTCTGCAATTTTTCTGAAATGCAAGCAAAGATAATTGTAGAAATTTCTTATAACCCAAAGTGCGTGATTTGAAAAAAAATGTCTATTAAAAGCTAAAAAACTGTAGTTTCAGAAAATACCATTTTAAGTGTAATCTACCAAAGAAATTCGAATTTTTTCACTTTTGTATACAATTTTCGGGATGTACAAAACAAAAAACAAAAACAAAAATAATTGAATTGTAATTTGTTATCAGATAGAAAGAGCAAATACTGCTATAAATAGAATATATTTCGATTTGAGCATATTCTCGAAATATATGGGAAACTTGTACAAATCGATCTGCGGACGCCATTTCATTTTTAATTAACACCTGCATGTGAGAAATACTTGAAATATATTTCATATCTTCTCGGTGATAGACTTAACACTCATTCACTATTTAGACAAACACTGCGTAATGAATGGTAACGACATTAAAATCGATTGATATTAATGTTATAAAATAATGAATAAAAAAAGTATTTTTATGGGGTGTACAACAACCAGTAAAATAGAAGTATTACGTGTGGAGTGTTTGTCGTCTGTTTTTAATGCGGAGTACTTGTTTTAATTTACAATTTTTACACTACCTGTTATATCTCATAATGACCATAAAAGAAACCAAATTTAGAAACATTTATTAAAATTCCAATTTCCGGATACAACAAATAATGTGCAAAACCCTGCATCAAAGACCTGCATCATTCAACATAGAAACTTCTAGATGTACGGAGTTATATTTTCCGGAATTAACACCTAAAAATGTTTAGTTAAATTTAAATAAAATAGTACATTAAATTATGTATCGACCGGGTTCCATTGTATATTTTATTTAATGATCGTATCTCATTATACGTTGTCTATAAAGATGTCGCTGAGTAAACTGACGAAAACAAAGTACAATATAAGACCAATAACTTATCGAGCATTTGTCTACTACAAAGTGTGAACATATAATTACTTGCATGTCACGTTTTAATTTATTCAAAATACACACGTAATCGACATTCTTTTTGAATGAGTAATGTAATGAGTTAGATTCCCTAATTTCACCATTTGGTTTTCAATATTGTGGTATTCTAGGTTTCTCCAAGGTTTCAATGATTAAGACCCTTAACATCTCTGACCTAAGCGGAGGAAACACTGCATGCTTCAGTTTACTTTTTACTTTGTATTAATGGTAATTGTATTTGTATAGTATTGTACCTGTGCGATCATTGTTACCAACAAATTATTGTCAGTCATTACAAACAAAAATATTGACGAGTGAGTTCCCTTCAAACAATGATAACTATGTTATAAATAAATATATTTTATTAAACCGGAATGATGATAGGAAAATCTGTGTGTTTTCTCATTTCATATGGTTTTTACGCATGTTTCGGTGGTAATATCAGAGTGCAAATCAACAGTATAAGTAAGTATGAAATATTTTTACTGCTTTGCTCGCAGTCAGTACCAACTAAAGAAATAGACCAGTTTCATTAACCTTGAATAGAAAAATAATATTTTCTAACATTAACAATAATACTACCTTACGTGTTGAAGTGTTTATAATTTTATTTATAAACAATAACAATAATAACATATGGTGACAAATGTATGTCTTAACACTCTAACATGACCAATATGTGCCGACAAACTCTTGCTCAACATTGTTAAAACAAGCGCAAAACATGAAAAGGTCATACAATTAATATCATTAGAGAATGTTGCAAATCGATAATATACTCTAACATAAGTATAAAGCATCATTCACATTGATTACATTTTATTTAAACTAACCAACCTTCTCTCCTCGTACTTCCGCCTTTCTCGTGTCATTTCTTCCTGACGTTTTCGGAATTCTTCTGCCCATTTTTGCTCTTCTTCCCTCTCCTCTGGATCCAACAAATCTTCTTCCTCCAGGATTTTAGTGTCTATCTCCATAGTTGTATATATCAGTTTTGACTTTCGATCTGAAGTAGCGAATAAAGGATACATTATGTAATGGTGCTACAGACATTTCACTATTTTGTAATCTCGATTATGTTCGAAGATTACGAAGGATGTTCTTATAGGGAACCTATATCGACGTAACAAATTCAGATCAGAAAAAAACGTTGTGAGATTTAAATATATTTAGGTATATAAAATATTGTTTTATGTCTTCTCTGAGTAACTGCTTGGCTTTGTATCTCCTATATATTTTGTCGAAATATGTCACACGATATTCACCCTTATTAAATTGTTTTGGATTACATTGTGTTCTAGTTTTCATTGTCACGTTTGCAAACCAACACTACCATTCAGAAGCTTCCACACAAACACGACCGTGTAAATGTAAGGAGAACGTGACACCCATATACTATAGTCTTATTCAAAACTACAAAGCACTGCCGATTGATTAGCTGAAATTAACATATAAAGCAGACTTTTATACTCAACAATTATTCTTTACTGAAATAGTTCAATATGACGTGTCATTCCATTGATTAAACCTTAGCATATCTGAAAGAAACTGGAGGACACGTTTTTTAAGAAAACATGCAGTATATATGAAGAGAGAGAAATATCGAACAATGAAAACAATGTATTTCAGAACTGTATTGAAGATCCAGACAATTAGTGAGGATTAACTTCTATTACAGTCTAGTGTTAATCTAATCTCATAGGTCGTTGACTGATGTTAATTAAAGTGACGGTCTGAACAACTTTTGGAACTATGGTACAAATATCAAATTAGATCCTACAGACGTATATGACTGCATTACAGTTAAGCTGCAAGCAGTATGTGTAAACTTGTATATATATTAGCATAATAATGATACACAGACATGTGTTGCAATTTATACACATAACACGCGCTATGATTACTCATATATAAACTGCCTACCTATGAATTTTCTACATATCTCAAGAATCACACAAATTATTGACGATCAATTTTAAAGTATGTATCAGCAACAATGCAGATAAAACATGGAAGTCTATTCTATATATAAATCAGATATATGGCTGATTATTTTCAAGTAGTAAATTACTCTCAATATAAAGATAACGGATCTACTGCCGGAAAATGTTGATTAAACCCTGAACAATATACCTAGGACTTCCTCCTTTAACATTCATGTTAAATATTAATAATAAACTTACCTTTAGTTAAATAATGTACTACTTTTCATTTCGTTCCTCCCTAACGTTTTCGTTGGTACTCGTCTGAAATAACAACCAGTAAAAAAGATCACATAATTGTGTTGACCCCTGTCACTTACTCTATGGTATTACTATGAACACGGCAAAACAAACCAGTAATTGACGACCTGTCGACAAGTATACTCTTTATAAGAATCTGAAATCAGAACCTGTGTGTGTATTTAAAAGCATGGAACACGTTTGGGCAGGTGACAGAAGAATTTTAATTAAATTTTGGCCGAAGTATTAATGTATAGATAAGAGATTATTTTCAACGTTCATATTAACTTCTTTATATAATATGTAATTAAATTTCTATATCAACTCAACAAAAGCAAGAGCAGCTAGCTATATAAATATGCATTGTATTCGTTGAGAGGAAACTTCTGTTGACTTACATTGATTTCCTTTGTCCTTATCTCGAAATCTAATGACATGAGGTTCATAGTTTAAACATTAACCGTCAACAGCTTATCCTAAAAACAATGTAACAGGCCAGTCTTGAAAAAATGGCTATAAATATGGCTGTCATATCGTTGATCAATACACACTTACCAACATAGGAGATCCTTTACAGTATCCGTGCTTACCCTATATGTTTTACATACTTTCCCAGTCAACAATAACAGTACTTATATCCAACTAGGCCAGTTTGTCGATCGTAAATCATGCGAAAAGTTGATCAAGTCTAACTAGGGAAGGGAAGCATTTAAATGGATTAAGGTGGAGCCATTTATATATTGGACATAGGTTTATATATACCTACGTGCGATATACGAATGAACAGTTAGTTTGAAGGTGTACTCGACATATCAGAGTATTTGCAGTTAATACGTTATTAATAGCCTGTTCACGACATATGACCCAAGGAAAGTTTATGGGTTTCTATACAAAATATTGAATACTTTCAATAATTTCAATGTAGCCAATATGACAACTTTTCAATTGATGCTGAACGTTTTACACAATCCATATGTAAAAACACCTAGGTTTATTCGGTGTCAAGTCGGGTGTAAATACAACGCTCTTGAATTCAAATGTGACGTAAACATATTGTATTGACCCCAAATTGAATCTCATTTTGACACATGATTCAGATAGGATCTAGGCACAGGGGGTCATGTCTAGAAAAACGGACTATTAAATACTGGTTGTATGCCGGATCTATATTCAAATTGACTTAAAAAATAGATATTTCTGTATTTTAAACAAAATTAAAAGTATTTTTGGTGTCTTAATATCGATACGATGATTAATATGCTGACTTTGATATATGACTTCCCAGCTTGTTCAATAGTCGCTAGAATTGAGAAGAGTACTGAAATCACTTGAAGTTTTATTTGATAAGGTTAACTATAATCATAATGTATTTCGTTATTTTTTTCATCTCACCCTAAAAATATTCTGGAACTCCGCATCTTTAAACCTGTCTCTCCTATAAATGGTGTCTACATGCTGCAGTCAATTTTCTTTTCATGGTTTCTTTCAAATAAGACATTTTCACAAATATGATATCAACAGCTGAAGAACAGATTTGTAAACAAGGTTTTAAGAAATAAAATATCGCTTTCATAATTTCATATAGAAATACACATTAGTAAGGAGCGGCGTTTTGGTGCACGTTAGTGTGCCTAATCGTTTGGTAATACTGATAACAAACTTCAAACCCGATCAAAGGAGGTGAGGATGTGAACAAAAGAAAGACGCCAGAAAACGTGGATTAGAAATAGAAGTCCTTACATCAAAAAAGGGAAGGCACAGACACTTCCGAAGGGTCATTCTCCTTGTTGTAACTTCAATTTGAATTAAATATCGGCATTCTCACTATATGACTTGTCAATACAATACGTAAGATATTGTGTATTGTCTGCTCTTAAAAGGCACAACTATTAAGAAATAAAATAATGTAGATGTTATGACTGTTAACATCTTGTTTACAAACGAGAAATCATTAAGTAAGTGATTAAAAACGGGGGTAATTTTCACACTGCACTAAGATTCTGTAATTATTCAGGCTACCTTCAGAATCTGTTCATATTCACACTACACTAAAAATCTGTAAGGTTTCATACTACACTCAGAATTTGTCAGTATACAGACCACACTAAGAATTTGTCAGTATACAGACCACACTAAGAATTTGTCAGTATACAGACCACAATCAGAATTTGTCTTATACAGACAACACTCAGAATTTGTCAGTATACAGACCACACTCAGAATTCGTCAGTATACAGACCACACTAAGAATTTGTCAGTATACAGACCACACTCAGAATTTGTCAGTATACAGACTACACTCAGAATTTTTCAATATCTTATGTTGAATAGTGTCATAAGGATTAAGTATTCAAATATGATCTGAATGAAGAATATGCATGTCACATGTGTTTAACATGCAAGCTGTAAAATACCCGTCACCCGATCTCTATACCGTATAGTGTGTGTAACGTTACAGGACGAAGGGGGCTATCATACATCTGATATGTCAACACCGTAAAAGGGTGTATTCAACATGTACTTTAAATATAGGTATAAAATGTCTGTGGGGTTTACATATATAAATGTGTATGCTTAACCTTCACAGACTAGAGTGATCGCACAATGTACACTGTGTATGGCAGCAATACCTGGAAAATCGTCTGTAATAACGTGTGTTGTTCCCTGTCCTTTACATGTCATACGAGACTATCAGTTCTCCTAATTACATCAATACAAGTTTTACTCAATGACTCCAGAACATTTCGGGCAAGTAATACATTTCTAAAGTATACATGTTTCCGAAAACGTTTCTGTCATGTTTCAGGACAAAGGAATTAATTCGAATTCTCTAATCAAACGTTGTATATTTCGTTTCTATTTGAGAGTAGCCTTTTATATGAAAGTAGAAATTAATTGAAACTTTCGTGACAACGAAATATTTAAATTAATTATATTCTTTGTTCATCAAAATGTTTGAACTGTTCGCATTTGCTTATAGCATTTGTCGAAACCGCCTTGACAGTTAACAAAAATTATTCACATGCAAATATACCTTAATTCTTCTACTGTAATCGTTTTGACCTTATTTGCAAGGCTGGAATTTGATTTCCGTCATTATGGAAGATGTGACTACATTAGCTATTTAATCAAACAGGTGTCATACGTCTAGCAGTATTCGTTTTATATCTATATCCTCGCAACAAGAAGTGTTCGATGATAGTTAGTATGTCTGGTAGTTTCATTGTTACGAATCTTTATCTCACTCGGGAACGTGACATTACTTACTTGGGTTGAACAATATTTACATGGCGGGTGTCCTCGATGAAGCAGAAAACACTTACCCTTCCGGAACACATTGTCTTATTCTTCTAGTACTTTTTCAATGGTGTTCGAGTGAATCTGAAATGCTGTCCTAGTTTTATCTATGTTTAGTTCAATTAAGATTTTGCTCAAAGGTAGCCATATCCTTGTTTTTATTGATCAACGGCCTCCACCATGTTCCTTTTGTGCTATATGTGGTAAAAGCTATGTTAACTCACATTTAAAACAGGATTCAACACAAAAATTATGTTTTATCCTCACATTGATGTCGTGAAGATGCCGTCCTGATTAATAAGATTGATGTCTGGTGTGATAGGATAATTGAACATCGACGTGGCCGTTGCTGTATAAAGTAACGTCAATAGTTATAGGTCGATTGAGGAAGAATCTGCCCGGAATAAATCCTCCTTATCCCTCAATACAATGTTCTAGTATTGATCGTATAATCACGC